TGTAAGGTTATGACTCATACAACACCTCTGACTAATTCATTTTGTGCGCTTGGGTTACTTTCTAACCATTCCCAAACATTTTCATGCCATTTGTTAGATGCCCAAACACTGTCAAAATGCATTAAAATGGGTGATGTGCTAGTGAAATAGTGTGGTTTCCATTTGAATATGTAGCAGGGCTGGGAACTGGCTGATGCTTGCTCAATTATTGAATTCAGTCCAATTCCCTGAGTTCAAGTATCCAAGCCATAACAAAATCACCATAATAACTAACATAACTAACATAGCAGCAGTCTCAGGACTATACAATCCGCAATACCAGCAATGGAAAGCTTTTGCTGTTGTTGTGCTGTTTCTGAATTTAACTTCCAGAATTGTCTTTTAACAAAATCTGAGCCTACAGATCCGGTCAAATACTTTGGGACCAGCAGGTCTCCAGGTGCTTTGTAAAGGCAGTAGAAGATGCTGAGCTACCTACCAAATGAGGCCAAAGAGCTGGATTGCATTCACTCATTTTTTACTTTAACGCCAATCCTGTGAGATGCTGAGAATCCTCACTCCCTCTTTCACGTCTGAAAGTCAAAAGCACTAAGCCCCACACAGAAAACATTAAGTGCCCTGTGGGTTTGGTCCATGAGCTTGGCTTAACAGCAAAGCATTGATGTTCTGACTATCACTGCAGTCACTCAGTGGGTTTATGGTGCACTGACTGAAGTTGAGGCTTGTAAAAAACTGGGACATTTTGTAAAAGTTTCAGTTGATTTTACTAGTGCATTCAGAATAAGTTATCAAGGAAAATGTACTTGCTTCTTTTAAACACACATTTCACAGCATCTCTCAAGATGGCCTATTCCAGGGGCAGGGTGTGAGGCAGTCTTTATGGACCTAGGGGAGCATTTTCAAAACTGAAAGCTAAGTCCCTGCCAATGAGAGTTAGGCTCCTCTGTGACCTATGTGCTTTAGTAAAAGTTACTCCTATCCACCTTTTAAGTGCCTTCCGCAAAGCTGATCAACCCATTCAGCATCACCGTCACTTGCTTGTTTAGCACAGCACGTGACACTTTTCTTGCCACCAACTGCTACTTTGCCAGTGCCTGACAGTAGGGTAAGAGCTTATGATATTATGAAAATCAAATAAAGTAAAAAAAAAAAAGCCAAAACAAAAGCAGTCTAGCTGTAATACAGCTTTTAGTCAAACCTGGAATCTATAGGCCTGACTCGTAATCTCCACCAAAATTCACTTATGCAATTTAAAAACTCAGCCTTCAGATTAGGCATTACCTTCCCAGTTAGTTTCCTGCTGGTCACTGTCAAGTAATTTTGCCAAACTTTTCTTCTTTTCTCCAGCTTCAGGAGAGCTCGACTCATTTTCCAGTTGCTCTACCTACCGTGATGCAATGAGTTCAGAGTAAAAAATTATGCACAAAGCTTACATTGTCTATAAAAACAAGCACATACACACATACTGGTGCACACACACGGGGAAAAAAATCCTGTACTGGAACTTAAACCATGCCCTGAATAAATGTTGCCACTGCAATGAAGATCTGAGCAAGACATCCATGCTTCAAAACGCAACGTTTTGGTTTCAGAATAATTGTAGAATTGACATTTTTTGACACAAGATGCTTTCAAGGCATCTCATGGCAGGATGGAGGAGAATACATCAGATATGTCATGTCATCAGGAGATCAGAGATGGCTATGCTTTCACGGGCTGCAGCACAAAGAGCATCACAGATTCTGTGGGAAACATGTTCCCTTATATCTCAGTCTGCCTGGCAGGGTATTTCTCCCTCTTTCCAAGGGCAAAAAAGTCAAAAAAACCCCAAGGGAATCCTTATTCTTCCTAAAAACAATTGTTCCAGAAAAGATTTTCATTTGGAAATGCTCTTGGTGCAGAGAAAAATATGCTGCGTGGAGCTACTCTGCTCCCAGAGAGACCCTTGACATCCTATATGCCCCCCACCCCCCACAATACACTTTTCAGGGTCTGGAGAACAAGTGTCTTCTCCCAGCAGGAGCCTCCCCACCCAGCTGTGATCCCTTCTGCCACTGCAAATGGAGGAACTCACAAGGCTTCATATATTAGGTTTCAAAACCCCAGCTGCTGCTAGGGCCAAGGCTAGTCCAAGGCTTCTTACAGTAGTGCAACTTTGGGATGCAAAGAGAGTTAGTTGAACTATTTTTTGTAAAAAAGGTTTGTTTAAAAAAAAACAAACCCAACCATCTTGTCAAGCAATACAAAAGCTTTTCCAACCCCCCCCCCTCAAAAAAAACCCAAAACAAAACCCTTTTGCAAAAAATTCAATAAATCTTTCAAAACCTTTTCATTGAAATAATCAGGACACAAACATTTCCAGTTTTATTCACATCGATGAAACCAAAATCAACTTTTGGGTATAGGAGGTTTGCCCTCTCTTTGCTTTTTTCCATTTGAAAAAAGGAAGAGGAAGGAGAGAAAAACTTGATTTTTTCCCCCATTTTGATTTGAATAAAACACCACAAAAATCCTTTGGAGTTACAGTGGTGAAATTTTCAAGTAAAAATCCTTTGGGCCCAAACTTTTCCATAGGACTGAATTCTCATCTTTTGACCAGCTCTGACTAAGCCAGTCTGTGGGATGCTTTATTCCACTGATTGTTTTATTCTCCTCTTGATTATTTGTATCAATTTGTTTCCACAACTTAATTCTCACCCTAGCACAATCCTCCTGCTCCTGGCTGCACAGGAAGAGTTTCAGCTCAAAACAGGGCAGCTGTCTGCTCCAGTCTCTATTAAAGCCCACAGGGCAATTCCCACTGGAATCAGTTGCATTTATTCTGGTATTGAACCTGTTCATGGGATGCACATGACATACACCAGCATCTCCCATGGTGCCCTCATCCGCACAGCAAGACTTACCAGGATTTGCTGGTTCTTACTAGTGAAGACTCTCTGTTTCCGTGGGTTTAGTGCAATCCTGTGCTTGGCTGCGGAAGTATCCAGACAGCCCACGGGACTGGCAGGAGTGCTGAAGTCGACAGGAAGCATGTTGCTGGCTTGGGAGGCTGGATTGGCAAGGACTGCAGAGGGAGCTTCAGAGGGGATCTGTAAAACACCAATAATTCGCTATGTATTTTGCTTGGCTCTCCTGTACCTGAGAAAGCAGTTCCCATTGCCACCTTCTTCTAGCTCATATGACTGGTTTTGCGTGTTTCCACTCCTAAACCAAATGGCATTAAGACATTAGCAGCTGAATTTTTCAGCACTTTAAAGAGCAGGTGTCCCATGCCAATGGATTTCTTTGTCACTGATTGTACCTTACACAGAAGTGGGACACAGCTGAGTTTTCCTTTCACACAGTATCAGCTTTTGCCACTCCTCTCCCAGGTCCTATAAATATTAATGAGCAATTAGCAATACCTATTTGCACCAGCAGGAGACACTGCTGCAGTTTTTTTAAACTTTGCTTTTTCCTCAGGACAGTAGGAGACAGTGCAACAGCATAAAGGCACAGAAGTATTAGTGCTCACTGCTCCTTACCATCTCAGGTTCAAAGGCAGTCATTTGGTTCTTTCATTTCCCCCCATGAACTCACACAGCAGTCCTACGTCCCATTGCATCTAGCAGCCCTGGACCATTTTGGAGGTACAGACATCCCCACAATAATGCTAGCCTTGGGAACCAAATGCCTGTAGCATATAAAAAGATGATTCTCTTATAAACCGAGCGGGCAGACATGTTTGCGCTGAAACCCAAAAGCTAGGCAACGTTTGTCCGGTTTTGTTATATTAGTTTGAAACTCAAACTAGGCTGGCTGGCTGGGAGACTGGCAATTTCATAGGCACTTCAAATGAGCTTTGTTTAACATTAAAAAATTGCTGTTTTCTATGGTTCAAGCCACAGTACCATGAAACATGGCAGTTTGTAAGGGGTTTGGCATTCAGATTTGGGGTTTGTCTGAATGGGAAACATAACTCAGAGTCAGGGAAATGTAATCAATGCTGAGTGAATAAAATGTTCCTACAGACTCTTCAGACAAGAATGTGCAGTTTCCCTCATCGTGAATAATTATATCGCATAATGCAGCATCAACCTACGCGTCAATGATGTACAGTGCACGTGAGAGTGACAGGACTTGGACAAAACAGGATGGCATAGAGCTCCGTTCAAAGAAAAATTCCACTGGACAAATATTTAATGAAATTTAAGGCTTAAGACTTGCAGTATAAATACTGACTACCGTGATGAAATACAGTCAAGTTTGCAATTTTTTTTTTTTTAAGAGTCATTATCTTAAGAGCATCCAACGGTACATAAAAGAGTCACTTTAAAAAGGATCTGTTAACAATCCTGGCTTTTACCAAGGACTCATCCAGTTTAATTTAAACCAACAAGCTGCATCTGGTTGCCTGCCTTAAAAACAAAAAATAAACCTTGAACTCTGGTTGCAAGAATGAGTCACCATTTTCAGTTTGGTTTATAAACCCAGAATTAGAATGGGAGCTGTGCTACAAAAGGCTTTTTCCACAACTATATTCCTAATATCAGTCTCATCGTACGCATCTCCATTTAAGAAAAAGTAAGTGCTGCTGTTGATGCTTTTCAGCTCCTAGAATTAAAACAACTTCCCCACTGAATCTGTTACAGTAATTTTAGGTCTCTCTTATTTCATAGTGTGTAAATTCCTCAAGAGAAATAAAAAGAACATCTTTGGGAAAGAAGCAAATTATTACAATACTGCAGGACTAATAAGAAATCTATATGGCTCACTAGAATGAAATAAAAATCGTAATGCTGTTACCCATTTCCCACAGACAAATTCTTCCATCTCACAGGTTTAAAATTATGGCTGTGCTCATTTAGTGTACCAGTGGCCTGATCCTGAAATCAGAGACACACTGTTGTACAAACTCAGCGGCTGCATTTGTGTGGGTCCCAATACACGGTTTGACAAGACATGTAACACAGGGGTAGGCATCTCCCAGCACGGGTGCCAGAGCATGGCACACAAAGGCATTTTGCTTGCACATACGCATTGGGGCGGATGGCAGGGAAGGGGCCAGGACTGCCCTGCCACAACAAGGTTCAGGCCTCTTGTGGCTCCCCCACCACCCGCCCCCGCACGCCAACATCTTGCAAGTAGAGGCTGCGAGTGTTTTTTGGCACTCTGCTGTAGCTGACCCCGAATGTAACATGTTGCCATATATTTTAGGGAAAAAAAACACAGACTCTGCAGTTCTATTGCACCTTGGTTCTGTGCACTTAATAGCTTGTGCTTGTCTTTGTCTAGTAAGACTTACCTTCCTTGCACGGCTAATCAACCCTTGCTTCTTAAGGGCTCCATGGCAATTTACACTACCTGAGGATCTGTGCCTGGGCCATGCTAAAACTAGGATTTAGTGAACATCCAGTGTTGCATTCCCATCTCAGTGAGGGGAGGAGGGATGCTTTGCTTTCCTAGCAGTGACTAGAAATTGATTTCAATCTCTTTGGGGCAGAGAAGCCAATAAAGTCTCTACCTTAATGATTAGCTTTTAGTTAAAAGGGAGAAGGTTGGGTGGATAGATCCTGAAGGGAAGGCATTCTGCTATGACTGGTATTTGTGTAGAGGAAAACCATTGCAGCTAGGAAAGATTTTTCCTGAGCAGCTTTCATACCAATTAAACTTTCCTCATCCTCACAAATTGGGACTTTGCTTTACTCTTAATTAGTGTGAATTACAGAAGCCAAGGAAGTTAAAGCTCTGTAAAAGCAATTTGGCAAAGGTTTGACACTGGGTAGCGGCTCTGAAAACGGGGAAGTGATTTACTTTATGTTTTTGTTATGTTGTTATGTTTTTGGAGTGATAGCCCGTGTTTATCTTCCAGACAACCAGGAAATGTGCATTTATAAATCTGCAGGCCATTGATGGGAGTGTACAAATACACACATGCCCTTTGAGGGCTTCCCAAAGAGGGGACAGCAGGAA